CGCTGACCTTAAGGTTCGCAGCCCGATTCGTAACCACTACGCTACCAGAGCTCCACATAATTCACAATAAAACATTTTTTTTTTAAATCAAGCAATGTACTGCATTAGGCAAATCTGCTGACACAAGGACCACTTTAAAGTGTTCAAGAGCAAAGATGTCTCTCATACTTTGTCTCTCATACTTCGGACATGTTACCAGGAGGGAGCAGTCCCTGGAGGACATCATACTTGGTAAAGTGGACGGTCAGCGAAAATGAGGAAGATCCTCAATAAGATGGATCGGCACAGTGGCAGCAGCAACAGGCTCAAGCATCATGACCGTGAGGATGGCACAGGAACAGGCAGTGTTTCGTTCTGTTGTGCATACGATCGCTAAGAGTCACAACCAACTCCATGGCATCTAACAACAACAATATACAAATGGACCTGGCAAGATGGAACACAGAGTCAAATCAACTATCTATGGGAACAGGCAATGGAGAAGCCCAGTACCATCAACCAAACTAAGGTTAGGGGCAGACTCTAAAATAAACCGTCAAGTTGCTCATAAGCAAGTTCAGCTGAAGCTGAAGAAAATTTCAAATTTCAAAGGGTAACTAGGAATGATAAAGTAAAGTATTATAATGAAACATGCAAAGAGCTGGAGTTAGAAAACCAAAAGGAAAGGATATGTTCAGCATTCCTCAAGCTCAAATAACTGGAATATTGACATATCCTATGAGTGAAATATTAAACAATGGAAGTAATACATGGTCACTGTACCAAAAAGAAATGACTGATGTTCAGCCATTTCAAGAGGTACCATATCATTAAGAACTGATGGTATTGAAGAAGTCAAAGCTGCACTGAAGGAATTGATGAAAAGCAAGGCTCCAGAAATTGATGAAATGCAAACTGAAATCTTTCAACAAACTGATACAGCTCAGAAGGTGCTTATTTATCTATGCCAAGAAATTTGGAACACCAACCAAAAGAGATCCACATTTGTGCTCATTCTAAAGAAAGGTAACTCAACAGAATAAGGAATTATTGAACAATATCATTAATATCACATACAAGTAAAATTTTGTTAAGGATAATTCAAAAAATGGTTGCTCGTTCAGCAGTAAATTGACAGGGTTGTTGTTGTTGTTGTTAAGTGCCATCAAGTTGGTTCCAACCCATAGCGACCCTGTACAGGGTTTCCGAGGCTGTAAATATTTACAGGAGCAGAGAGCCTCATCTTTCTCCCGCGGAGCGGCTGTTAGTTTTGAACTGCTGACTTGTAAGGTTCGCAGCATGATTCATAACCACTAGGCCGCTACCAGAACTCCTTAAATTGACAGGGTACGGCCAGTAATTCAAGCTGGATTCAAAAGAGGACAAGGAACAAGGGATATCATTGCTGACGTCAGATGGCTCTTGACTGAAAGCAGTAAATACAGAAAGATGCTTACTTCTGTTTTATTGAGTCTGCAAAGGCTGTGTGGATCATGACAAACTACAGGCAACACTGAGAAGAATGGGAATTCCAGAACACTTTAATTTGTGCTCATGAGGAACCTATACATAGACCAAATGGTGGCTGTTCCAACAAAACAAGGGAACACTGAATGGTTTAAAGTCAGGAAAAGTGTGTGTCAGGGTTGTATTCTTTCACCATGTCCTGGTGTGGCACTGTGGGTTAATGAAAGGCTGACAGTTCAAGCTCACCAGCTGCTCCTTGGAAACCCTATACACAGCGTCACTATGGGTCAGAACCTGCACTTAACAACAATTAACAGTCTCATTAACAACCTGTGATATGCAGATAATACAACCTTGCCTGCTGAAATGGAAGAGAACTTGAAATACTTATTGATGAAGATCAGACTGCAACCTTCAACATGAATTGTAACTCAACATAAAGAAAACAAAAATTCTCACATCTGGACCAATAAATAACATTATGATAAATGAAGAAAAGACTGAAGCTGTCAAAAGATTTCACTTTACTTGAATCCACAATCAACCCTCACAGAAGCACAGCCAATAATCAAACAACATATTGTATCAGGCAAATCTGTTATAAAGAGCACTTCTCTTTAAAGTACTAAAGAGCAAAGATGTCACTTTGAGGACTCAGGTCTCCCATGGTATTTTCAATCACCTTATATGCATGTGAAAGCTGGGCAATGAATATGGAAGGCCATAGATGAATTGACACATTTAAATTATGGTGTTGGTGATGAATACTAAGAGTGCCATTGGCTGCTAGAATAACAACAAATCTGCTTGGGAAGAGGTACTGCTCCTTGGAGGCAACTATGGTGAGACTTTGGACCATTCCCTGGCGAAGCGCATCATGCTTGGTAAAGTAGAGAGTCAGTGAAAAAAAAGAGGAATAGCCCCCAACAAGGTGGAATGACAAGTGGCAACAATGGGCTCAAAAATAAAAACCCTTGTGAGGATGGCACAGGACTGGGCACAGACAGGCCTGGGATTGTTTCACTCTGTTGTACATAGGATTGCTGTGAGTCAGAACGAACTCTACAGCTCCTAACAATAATATCAATAACAAAAGTTACTATTAACCACAGCTCACCTACCAAATTAATCCAGGTAGAAGCAAAATCTGATTTCTCATTAGATCTTTTTGGATTTTATGAGCAAAGACTCTGAGACTCGATTGAAACTGGTAAGGAAACACACACACACAAATCCAAGAAATTAAATAATTAACGCATACTTCAATTAGTAGTCCCATTTTCTTTTAATTGTCACTTCGTTTTTTTATCCAGTTAAGTACTGATGATACAAAAGGATATAAACAGATTTTCATAAATATTTACAGGAAGACATACAAAACAATTACCAAGAAACATATCCAGCAAAGTTACAAGCAGTTGCTCATCAAAGTTCACTTAACTGTACAACATTTATTCTAGAAGTTACCCAATTCTCTTAAGCTACCCAGTTCTTCCTTCCACAAAAGCCAAGCAAACATTTCAGGAGCTGATGCAATCCTGTTTTGTACTAACTGCCAGAGAAGGGCTTTTAAAGAACAATCTCTACTTTTCTGGCCCATGTTACAGCACCAGCAGGCTGACAGGGTGAGATGACGTCAAGGAAATGTTCCTCTGGTCATGGCTTCCCTAGTCCTTCTCTTTTCGCACAGAAGGAGGCATTAACTGGTATAACAGGTGACTCTGCCACACACCAGCCCCAAAAGGAGGGTGTACAGATTGTCAATACAAAATGGAGAAAAAGAACTGTTCTGTCTGTCCTTACCTACTAAATATACTATAGATTTGAGGAAGCAGTTTCTAGCTCTGCACCAGGCAGGGATTATGTGGCCTATATTTTGTCCACAACACATTCACTTGAGAAAAAACAGGGATGAATACCTCAGAAACATTCACGCTGCTCATCAAACATACTTTGACCAAAATATCTGGGAAATGGCAAGAACCTAAAGCTAGCCAAATATCTTATCTACATTAAGTCAAAGTTTAAACGAATCATCCCATCTTCAGTCTCAGGAATGCAATGGGTTAAATACCACAGATATTCTTTAATGGAAACAGAGAGTTAAGGGTCTTTGTGTCTCAAAATGGCTCAGCCTGGGACAGGAGAGAAATGGACTATAAAAAGCATAGTAGCTTTAAAACATGGAATACAACAACTGTTAGTTAATCTAGTCACAATTTTCTGGTCATCTGCAAGAGACTACCATATTTGATATTAATCTTTCACATTCAAGAAACAGATCAACTCAGCTTCCAACATAAAGCAAGAAAAAATGCAAATGGCAACAGCCTCAAACCCCAAAATATTTGACCCTTGGGAAACTGGTAAAGACACTTGAAAGGCCAGCAGGTTTCATTTCTACTTTGGCCTGTACTAGTTGGAAGGGCAATGGGTCCTGGAACTGAAATATTCTGTTCACACAAATGGCAGATATATATATTCTACTTTTACAGATTTGCATACAATACTATGCTGACTACAAAACAGAACAAAACCAAAAACTGAGGGTACTAGAAAAGAGGAAAAAAAAAAACAACGAATTACACGGGATCATTTCAGTAGTTATTTTATTATAAGGGAGCATTTCACTAGTGTAAAGCTAGTCCAATGAATAGCTACCAATGGGATTTCTATCTTTCACCTTCAAAGTTGATCTAATAATTTATAAAATGTCCTCGTTCACATTTTGGTCGTATACTCCCAAGTACAGTAATCCCCCTAACGTTTTGGTTTCACTTGCTATTTGATGACTAAGTTGTTTCTGGCTGTTAAAATTGTCCTAATATATTTTAATTAGCCAGTTAGCACAGCAGGGCTGCTCGCTCTGTGAAGCCAGACAAGCTTAGCAAAACCATTTGATCTACTGAAGATGAACAGTAGGGGAAAAAAGGCAAGTTTCCTGGCTTTTCTTGCAAAAGTTTTTCTCACTTGAAAAACTCTAATCAATGTTTTCTTCTAGAAAAAGAAAGCAAAACTAGTCAGGAAAATATTCACACATTTAATGCTTACTAGCATGCTACAAAATATATTCATAGATGTCAGTCAATTGTTTTTCAAAAACCAAATGTGCATGTTTAATCTTGTAACTTAAGAACTGAATTTTTTCCACATTCCTTTATATAGAGTTAGCATCTGTAAATTGAGATTTTTTTTTGGACAATCATGCAAATTTAATTTGTCCCTGGAAACAAAAACACAACCTAACAGATTAACAAAGTATGTCCTTTAGACAATATTTTTTCTGTAAAGTTTTCCTCCACTGTTACCATTTTTATCCTTCGGTAAATAGAAACTACTCTATTTACTGAATAGAAATAGAAAAGAATAGAAAAAGAAAAAGTCTGTGTTACGTGTGTAGAGAGAGCTAAACTATTAGAATGATTAGAAAGGAAAATGCATCAAGTCAAACTATTTTACCTTCAAACTGGCTCCCCTTCTCTCAAAAGCAAACTCTAAACATTTTCAAGTTATTAAGTTATATGAGCTAGAGACATTTCTACTACCATAGATGCTTCTGTAAAATTGAATAAAAGACTTTATTATACCACACACACAAAAGCAACAGTACAGAAAAGGCAGCATTTGGTTATTCTGTTGAGAATTTCTTTCCATGATTTCTCCCATTAAAGTATAGTTTTCAAAGCAACCACCAGGACAAAGGAAGCATCTAATTAGTCCATTTTCTTCTGATCCAAGAATGCTGAACATTTACTGTCCCATCTGTAGTTGTATCAGCAGTGTAATGAACACAGTTTATATTACTTAACTAGTCTTTGAACTCCAAGAACTGTTGAAGTCTTTTCTGATGTTCTGCAGATGCTTGCACAGCACTAAATGAAACATAAATTCAAAGCATAAGCTTTATTTTACATTAAACATATTTAAGTGAGCCACAGAGCAGAGTCAATATTTTTCAAAACAATTAAAAATGAATAGAAATCTCCACTTATTTAATACTTCTGAAAAGAGTTGGATGGAAACCCTCCTTAATCTAATGAGGAGGGCTTGTATTCAGTAATAGCATGTTTCTACCTTCTCAAAGACGAAAGAAAATGAAGACTGACAAATGAAGGCATCGCTGTAACCTGCTCTGCTATGGAACCCGCTGTGCAGAATTACAGCTCTTGCATTAGGATTTTCTGGATTTTATTATTTTATTTAAACCAGATCTCAACATTATCTTTGACTTGTGGAGTATTTGAATTGCCTTTAATATAAAATCCTTTAAACTAAAATGTTTGGTTAAAACACAATAGACTCCACTAATCGTTTTCAAAGGTAACAGTTTGGTGGTTTAGATTTACTTTTCCCTTTGAACATAAGTTATGTCTTGGATGGGGAAATTAGAAATGAGTTTTCTCCCTACCCTCACCCTCACAAAAATGCATTACCTTAACAGAATTAGGACAAATATATATTGAAACTAATATAAAACTTCCTTTTAAACTTTGGAGGAAAATGGAATCCAATAAAAGATTTGGGTTTTCTAGTTTGTGAATAGTAATACATCATTATTTAATGGAAAAGAATTCCAGATAACGAAAGGTCAACACTTTTTTTAAAGCACCAAGTTTTACTTTAATAAATTTTGCTACAAATAATCTTAATATGCCTTGCACACTTATTTCTGCTTTCTCAAACCATGTAGCTGCCTCTAACTGAACCATGTGAAATATCTTACTGTGTGCAAAGATGCCCTCTAGGTGCTAGTGAGGCAGCTGATCTCAAACTAAATGCCTCTGAGCGACCTTATCTCCGCTGCTTTCTCCCCAACTCTACCCTCTGCTAGCAGGCATTGAACTATATCCCTTACTATTGTTACCAATCCTGACTTTAGCAGCAAGATCTTCCTTTCAAATACTTGTATTAAGCTGTAGGCTGGAAAACCAGTGAATCAAATTTGCTTAAATGAAGAGAAAATTGGTGCTGAGTAAGTGACTCCAATGAGAACTGGCCTGTGTGAATTTTCACTGCTTAAGAGACGACTTGCACCTGGATTTTGGAGGGCATGCTTCAGGGAATAAAGAGGGTGGTATACAATAACAGCTGCTGTCACAATATTTATTAAGTTCTATGAATATACAATGGGTTTTACATAAGGATGATGTCACCTTATCTCTACTAACACCCAATGAAGCACAGTGAGAGTTAACAATAGTATTTTCTGAGCGCATTCTGGGTTTCATTTTATATCCTGGAGGCAATCTAGTGTTGTAAAAAGCAAGGTGTATATTTAAGAGGAAGAAGGATCCAATGTCAAATTTATGTCTATCACTCACTAAATTGTGATACTAGGTAACAGCAAGTTACCATAATAAACAGGGATGTAAAGGAGTTCACAGGAAGAGAAAAAAGGGCACTTTGAACAGCAGGAACTAAGTGCATAGCCTATGGTTGAGAAAGAGATTGTGTACCTGCAGAACGGGCTGGAGGTTCGTGGGTATGCAGGTTCTAAGTACGTGCATGCGTACGTACATGTGTAGGTGTACATGATTTGGTAGATGAGGGAGGGAAGATGGAGTGTTTAGGCAGGAGGGACACAGAAAAAGAAATGGGGAGAGAGAAGGTCTGGTTAGCTGCAGAGCTTATCAGGGACCAGCTGGTAAACAGCCTTGAATCCTATCAATATCCTAATTTGACAGCAGTGAGTTTTAAGTAAGAAACTAAAGCTTACATGTGACAGCATGGGATGTGGGTGAGAGTTGATCAGTTCAACCCAAGTTCATACTCTTACCCACTATATGAAATGACCTTCCCATTTCAGGATCCATTTCATGAAATTTAGCCACATCAATAACACTTTCAATAGAATATCTGGCATCTAACCAAGATTTGTGGACCCCTGCAGCCAATAGATGGCCAATGTGTGCTTGAGGGCAGGGGAGGTAATAAATTAATGGTTTGTCACTCTCTCCTACTATAACTTATCACCTATCCTAGAATATGTCATACTAAATCAGACTATTTTTAAGGAGCATTCTGAAGACAGTGCAGAGAATCATTTGTGGAAAGCAAACAAGGAGAAAAGCTAGTGGAGAGGAGGCTGCTGTGTCCATCAAGGTCAGTGATTCTTGAAGCTAAGTAGACAATCAAATCACCTAGAGGAATTTTTAAAACACAAACTGAAGGGCCCCAGACCCAGAGTTTCTGACTTGGTAGGTGTGAAGTGGGGCCTGAACGTATGCCTTTTTAACGAATTTCCACGTGATGCTGCTACTAATTCAGGGACTACACTTTGAAAACCATGTTTGAGGCAATGTGGCTTGCTACCTATAAAACTGAGATTGTTTTTCTTTCATGAAACTGTATTTTGTGAAGCATGCAACCACTAGACAAGTCCATTTCTTAAACTCTCTGAGCCTCAGTTTCCACACTGTTACAATTATGACCATCTCTATACTCGAAGGCTCTTGGAGAAGTGTAAATGAAAAATACAAAGTATTACCTATAACACTGTATACTACAACTGTCTCCAATATTGGAAATGTTTGCTATCTGTGCTGCCCAATATGGTAGTCACTTGTGGCGCTGTGGACTAATACACTGGACTACAAGGTAGGTTTGAACTGCAAGGGCAGCAGTTCAAGCTCACCAGCTGCTCTTTGGAAACCCTATACAGGATTGCTATGGTCCAGAACCAACTCACCGACACTAACAACAGTAGTCACATATGGCTACTAGGTACTTGAAATGTGGCTGGTATGACTCACAAATGAAATTTATAATCTTATTTGTTGTTGTTAAGTGTCGTCAAGCCCATTCTGACACAGCGACCCTGTATAGAGTTTCCAGAGAGTGGCTGGTGGGTTTGAAACAAAGATCTTGCAGTTAGCAGTCCAATGCTTATCTTACAGTGCTACACCAAGACTCCTTATTTAACTCAATTTATTTAAATCTAAATAGCCATACATGACTAGCACAGATAGAAGGCACTCTAGCTATGGAATGAAAATAGATTTTCATGTTTGTTTTTAAACAAGTTCGTTGTCCTACACAGAATCAAAGCGCTCCATAAACACCTGCTGCTGTTCTGAAGCGCTCTACATTGCAGCTTCTCAAAGCACATGGTATGAAGGAGTTCTAAACGACTTATTGCCTGCATACAGAAAACAGGTATTTCTAAGGTCTTCTAAAGTTTATTTATAATTACAATAAACATAAGTTAATACACTAGTGTCTATCATCCTGCCTAGTTAGACCACTTCAGGAAATAAAAAAAAAAGCAATGAAACTAAATATAAACAGGTTTGGCTTTGGTGGTTTTTTCTGATTCTGGTTCTACATGTATTGTGATCTGCCAGTGTTTTTCCAGCATGATTCACAAAGCATCAAGAATACTCGTTTATAGAACACTGCTCAACCTAAGCTATAGCCTGCTAACCAAGATATAACAACAGAATAATTTTTAATGTTTTTCTGAAAAGGTACTCCTCCTCCCCTTTTCTCTCTTAAGATGTTATGGCAATTAAAATAAATAAATAAATAATATATATATAAGGAGCTCTGGTAGCGTAGTGGTTACGAATCGGGCTGTGAACGGCAAGGTCAGCAGTTCAAAACTACCAGCTGTTCCGCGGGAGAAAGATGAGGATTCTGCTCCCGTAAAGATTTACAGCCTCGGAAACCCTGTGCAGGGTCGCTATGAGTCGGAACCGACTCCACGGCACTTAACAACAACAACAACAATATATATATAAAATATATATATACATATATTATATAACTACATTTGCTGCTTTTGTGTACCTGAAAGTCCTAAAGCTTATGTTCACAATAGGAATCATGAAGATGCCAATACAAAACAAAACACTTTTAAAATGTGAAGCTTTATAATTCTCATACTTATTTCAAAGAGAATGCCTCAAAGTTGACAACTGTCATGGATCAAAACAGATAAACTTACTTCAAATGTTCACCAAAAGTAGTAGTTATTCGATAGATGGCAGTTTTTAGTGATGCTCTGAATGCAAATCTTAATGTTTTATATGACGTGTCCACAAGGCTTCCTGAAATCCGAGGTGGTTTACTGGAAGCGTGAGGAAGTTTGAAGTACTTGTCAACTGCCTAGACCAAAAAAGAAAATACATTAGTTGACACTATAAAGGAAGCCAATGTAAGTCCAAAGGATTAAGGAGACTGTGTGTATATATGTATCTGTGTGTATGTTGTTGTTGCTAAGTGCCATAAAGTTGGTTCTGACTTACAGACCATAGACTCGTGTGTGTGTACATACATATGTATATATTATTTTTGATAAGTGTCATGGAGTCAGCTCCATGTAGGGACCCAGTATAGGGTTTCTGAAGAGCAACTGGTGGATTTAAGCCATGACCCTGTGGTTCAAACCTACCTTGAGGTTCAGCACATTATTCTATAGTGCCACATCAAGATATAGCAACCCTGCATAGGGTTTCTGAGGAGTGGCTGGTAGGTTTGAACCTCCATCCTTGAGGCTCAACCAGACCTTACAATCCAGCTCCACACCATAGGACTCACAGTAAGAAATGTATTTTACTGTATATACTTACTGTATGTAAGGTACGCCACATATATATACACACACATATATACATATATGTATGCAGTCCTAGTGTGGCGCTGTGGGTTAATGCACCAGACTGCAAAGTCACTTGAACTGCAAGGTTGGTGGTTCAAGCTCACCAGAAGCTGCTCAGAAACCCTATACAGGGTTGCTATGGGTCAGAACTTACTGAATGGCACTTAACAACAACATATATATGTATGGAATCCTGGTGTGGTGCTGTGGGTTAATGGGCCAGACTGCAAAGCCGTTTGAACTGCAAGGTCGGTGGTTCAAGCTCACCAGCTGCTCCTCGGAAACCCTATAAAGAAAGGGTTGCTATGGGTCGGATTCAACTTGACGGCACTTAACAACAACAATATATGCATACTCCATAAACATAATATATACTTATATAAAATCTTGGTGTGGTGCCAAAAGATAAACACTCAACCATAAGGTTGGTGTGGGTTGCTATAGGTCGAAACCTAATAGAAGGCACTTAACAACATCATTGTGCTAACAAGGGAGTCCTGGTGGTGCTGTGGTTTACGCTTGGGCTGCTAGCTGCAAGGTCAGCAGTTCAAACCTACCATCTGCTCCTCAGGACGAAGATGAGGCTGCTTGTTCTCATAAAGATTTATAGTCTTGGGAACACTATATAGTCACTGAGTCAGTAATGACTCCACAACTGAGTCTGGTTTGGTTTTATGGTATTTGAACAATACATATTAGATCTTGAAGACATAGTTTGAAAAGCAGAATATAAAATCATTTTGTTGTTGTTAA